CACTCATGGAGAAGGTACAAGGGAGACAACTTCACGTTGATTAACAATTCCTCCCCTTTTTTCTTTTCTTTCTTCTTTCAGATGACCATCTGAAAAAGAGAATTAAAAAAATTTTGAATTTATTAAACAGATGATTCCTTGGGCTCTGATATAAAGCCAAGGATTTTAAATGATCGTACTCCTTTCTTTGTCAAGGAGTCTGCAACTTGTTCATCAGTTGGTATCCAAGAGGACTCTGCAATTTCCTTTCTGTCCAACATTTCTCTCAAAATAGATACAGGAATTGTCAGTTTTGCATATGATCTTAATGTTCTCAGTTTCATCTTTTAGTTGCAGTAGTTCCAATAATAGTTTTCTGTAAAACAGGTAGGCTTCTGACATGTCAACCATGGCTAGAGTTTCGGCAGCCAGTGTACTTCTGACCACCCTTCTAATGCACTTGGATTGCCATGTGATGGGCATATATTTATTATTATTTCCTACCAAAAAGAGTATATAGCCTCCTAGTGATCCTCCATCTGTCAAATTAGCGAAAGAAGCATCACTATATGTAACAATTTTTAAATGCTCAATGTTTCCTAAGTCAGGGATGTCTATCTGTGATTTTTCCTTTTTTGCTTTCTTAATTACTCTATTGGCTTGTTTTATATATTCTACATTTTGTTGTTTTAGAATGGTGCTTAATGCACTAACATCATAAATTAGATCAGGTCTGGTTTGGGTGGCCAGCCAGTTAAGTTGATGAATAACTTGCCTGATTTTAGTAATTTATGTTGTGGAGATTGCATCTTTAAGGTTCCTGCCTGCTTCTACCGGAATATATTTTAATTTCTTTACATACTCGTTTTGTCCAAGTTTGATATTCTCATTATTCTTTTTTATATCTATTCCTATGTATTGGAACTCAGCAGTTTCTTTGGTTTTAACTGCAAATACATGACAAAGCCTGTCTATAACTGCTTTGAAAGATCTCTGATCCTGCAAAGCAAAAATCATCAACATGAGCAGCAATTATACCTTGCAGTTTGTTTCCGAAATGCCATGTAAATATTGCTTGATCATATTTTGAAGCTATTGCTTCTGATTTCATTAATTCTTCCTTGAGTGTTAAGTACCAGTACCTAGAAGCATCAGTCAAGCCATATACACATTTTGAGAGTTTCCAAATATGACCCTGAGGTACATTGGCTTCTTTAGGAGGATCCAGATAAACCAGTCGATCCAACTGCTTGCTATGCAGGAATGCTGTCTTTATGTCCATTGATTTACACATCCATTGGTTAGCTGCCATTATTGCCAGTGCTATGCGTAAACCTTCTTTAGAGCATGTGGGAGAATCATTCCTTATGTTGTTAGTGTCTCTATCCTGAAAGCCTCTTGCCACAAGTCTGGCTTTATAGGTTTGCTTGCCATTGGAATTTTTATTTGTGTAAATCCATCTTGTGGAAATTTTTGGTTGACCTTGGTCAGGTACTTGCATGTACACTTTATTTTCAACCCAGCTTTGGAGCTCTTTCTTTCTTGCCTCTTCCAGTTCCAGATCATCATTAGAGGAGGAAATCATTATATTTTCCTCATCACAAGAAGTGTGTTCATGTTCAGTTTCCTCAACCTCATTTGTTTGCTACTCTGATACCCCATGCTCAAAGTCCAGCCAAAAAGGTTCACCCTGTTCCATAACCACGTTCATCAAATGCTTGTTTTTGCCTGTTGCTTTGCCTGCCCTACTTATGACATTTAATTTTTTCCATTCTTGATCTGTGTCATTGGCAAGCTTGCATTTAATAGTTTGTCCTGGTTTAGGAAGCTCAATTTTCTTTGGAGTGAAGTTCTGCTTATGTGGTCTATCTCGTGCTTTTACAGTCTGATGTTGCTCGACATTGTTGTTTTTGGTTTCCAAATCTTCATTCATATAAATCTCTTCAGAAATTAGTACTTCTGGAGATTCTTCAAGCCTCTTCTGTGAGGTACTAGGTTCATTGTTACTGTCCTTGGAAGAACTTCAATATGTCTCAGAGTAGGGTGCTAAGTGAGATGAATGTACCCTTACATATGTGCCACCATGTTTGACAAGCACCTGCTTATGTTCCCACCCTATAACAGTTCCTGGACCAAGCCATCTATCACACAGGTTTCTTTTGTAAAGGACGGCATTGCCATTTTAGTAGGATTGTGTTATACCTGTTCTAAATTGGTGACGAATTGCACATCTTAGTTTCTCCGAGGATTCACATGCTATGAATTGTTTCCTGGTAGCATGCATAGCACTTAGGTTATCTGCAACAACTTCACTGGTGGAAACACCTTTTAATGCAGGAAGTTTGTCATTTAGAAAAGTAGGTAGATTGGAATTTCTGCCAAAAACACATTGATTGGGACTGTATCTGTGAATACTGTGAAGTGTATTTTTGGCACTTAGGGCCCATGCAAGTGCTACCTTGAAACTACAATTGGTATCTTCTATGGTTTTCTTTATCATTTCTTCCAATATCCTATTATGTCTTTCATTTAACCCATTGCTCCAAGGACTTTCAACAGCAGTGGTACATACCACAATGTTTAGATTTTGTGCCATATCTCTAAATGACTGGTCATTAACCTCTCTGCCATTGTCAGTGAGAATAAATTCCAGAGTTCCAAAATATGCAACCCAGTGCTTGAAAATGGCATTAATGATGTCAGAACTTTCCTTACTAGAAATCCTGACTCCAACACTGTATCTCATACCATCATCAATTAAGTGCAGTACTTTGTTGCCATTAATTTCTTTGATGTCCATGGCAATGCTCTCATTGAAATAGGTTCCTAATGAGAATCCAACAATGGGTCTAGGTTCAGCCCTTTGTTCCTCATGCAAATTTCACATGTAATAAACTTCTTCCACATTGCTATACATTTTCCCCGATATATATATATATATATATATATATATATATATATATATAAGCTATAATTATAAATTATAATTTTGAGAAAGTAAAATTTCACTGAAATATATTGGAAAATTTGCAAGTTTTCATTTCAAATCAAGAAAATGCAAACTTCAAGCAAAATTGTCCCAATATTTGGAAAAAAGGAAGTGCTAATTTAAATTGATGCCAAGAGGTTGAGAAAAATCTAAATGTAATGAAAAAAATTCTATCAGGTTGTTTTTCTCTGTCAAAAAAACATCAAGTAAAAAAGAATAAAAAAGAACATATTTTTCAGTTGAATATACATTTTTACTTGCTATCAGTAAACACTGATGAACATTGCTTTTCATATCTCAGTTAACAAAGATTTTTTAATGGGTAGATTGTGTGAATCAAAACTATTCAAACTTGTTGTAAATAAACTTAAAATGGCCATAACTGGAAATTAAAAACCAGGGTAGATTACAGCAAAAATATTTAACAATGTCTGTTGATTTAAAAATAAGAAAAATGTTTTTTATGCTGTTTTCTATAAAAGAACACATTAAGAAAATATGTTATAGTCTATAAACTGTATAAGTGAAAATGTATTTACAGTGTTGATTTCAGAACTTACTCCTTTTGATCTGACCCTTCCATCACACATACAACACAAAGTTCTTTGATATGCTTGATAAAATATGCAAACATAAATCGTCAGATAAATATTTTTTAAGTTTCAGTTGAATGATCACAATATGATTATTAAAGTAGATAAGTAATTATTTGCTTGGAATAATGTCCAAAGAGGGATATAGTGTTGACCTTATTGTGAATATATTATCTTACAATTGACCAAAGATAAACAGATTCTGTTTGAGGTTTACTTGATTCACAGGCCATGCCTTTATAAAAAGTATGAAAAAATAAAACATATGACAATATTTTTATAAAAAAAAGGGGTAAACTAAGATCTTTGTTCCCACAAGCATTGAAACCATTATTATTTCAACTACCTTCACTCCTTGGCAATGTTTATGGTTTTAAAAAGTGATTATTAAAATTGTAATAAAACCTAAAAGTAAATGAAAGTAAATTTATACATTTTTTCATTGTTGAGTATTTACAACAAAAATATTAAACACTGTTTATTTACTCAGGTATGTGCTGTGCATGATACGCACTTAGGCGATCATATATCTTTCGATACATGACTGATGAGGCAGATTTTTTTCCGCAGTAGGTTGCCATTTCTTTCTGTGGTAGACCAGTTGCTATCCAAGGCTATAGAATCCGGTCTGTCCTGCTATTTACCCATACCTGGGGGAAGAAGAGGATTCATACCTTTCCCAAGGGTATTGGCATGTAATTTATTTATTAGATTATTTATTTCCAAGAATAATTTTGTATTTACAACATTCCAAAAACTAATTGTATTAAAACTAATGCAATGCAATGTTTATCATTTTCCAATTTGTAAAGAAATAAATATGAAAACAATTTTATTCATAAATTTATAAATATTTACTAAATTATTAAAATATGTGAACCAACTATAAGGAAATCTTTATTATTTACCATTTTATAAAGTTCAAATGAAGCTGATGCTTTGTCAACATAATAAAGAAATCTTTATTATTTACCATTTTATAAAGTTCAAATCAAGCTAAGGTTTTGTCAACAATTCCAATAAGCAATCTGATAAATAAACAGTGTTTATTATTTTTGTTTTCAATTCTCAAGAACAAAGAAAATGTATAAACTCACTTTCATATGTTTAGGTTTTATTAAAATTCTAAACAATAAACATTGCCAAGGGAGTGAAGATAGTTAAGATAATAGCGGTGTCAATGGAAAAGCTGTCTTTTTCACACCCCCGTATTATTTTTTATTATTAGTATTTATTATTTATAGGTACAAGGGTCCAAGACTGTCAAAAAGGCTTTCTTGATTAGCACTTTAAGCACAAATTAATTCTTGCCAGAAAGTACATTGTGATATCATAGACAACACAGAAAATAGAATAAATGAAGTACATGTTTTATATTAATACGTTCTATGAGGTGGAGGCATGAATCTAACTTTCCCTGTACTCTATCCAATCATCAGTTGAAAAACTAGTTCTTGTAAGATCGCTGAAGTTAAGCAATGTCAAGCCTAGTTAGTACCTAGATGGGTGACCACTTGGGAATACCAGGTGCCACAAGCTTGGATGTGTAGGTGGTGTAATGAATGATGGCTCGAAATTGGAAATCAAGGAGTCAAGTTCTAATTCCATTTGGGCTTGTTATATTCACTTATATGGAAAATGCACTTGGGAAAGGTATGAATCCACTTCTTCCCCTCTCCCCAGCTATGGATTATTTAATAGGACTTGTATCAGTAAATGATTATTATCTAAAAAAAAATCTTACAAGCTGGCTTTAAATAACCAATATAAAGTTGATAAGCTGTAAAAAACAAATCAATGAATCAACCAACTAATAATCAGTCATTTTAGCCATTATCTTTTCACTAGCTTAGTATGATGGTAGGAAGAGTACATAGGCTACCACAATACTACTTCACCTGTTGAGACAATAACAGTCAAATGGATTCTGTATCCCCTGTTAATATTGGAAGATCAATATTTAGATCAGTTCTATCATTAGCTCAGATGAGCAGTCCTGGGTATGATGATAAACTACATCCAGCAGCAAGGCTTCTGATCAGAAGATGAGAGGTTTTGAGGAGTATGGAACTACCTTGTAATTGTTGTTGTTCCCAGGTCAACTCTAACCCAGGGTCATATGACTTGTTTTGGTTCTAGCTATGTGCAGTTAGTGAACCCTTAAACAAAAACAAAACACAATAAAACTATAAAAATAAATTTTTATAGTAAAAATATCAGCAATAGATTTTATATAAAAAAGTTACTATAGATAGTAAAATTACTAACACCAATTGATAGTAAAATTACAAATAATACAATTTTAAAGCAAAATAAGCAGAAATACATTTTATAGCAAAATGACCAATAATACATTTTATAGTAGAATTATCAACAAAACATTTTATAGCAAAATGACCAGTAATACATCTTATAGTAGAATTACCAACAATACATTTTATAGCAAAATGACCATTAATACATCTTATAGTAGAATTACCAACAATACATTTTATAGCAAAATGACCAGTAATACATCTTATAGTAGAATTACCAACAATACATTTTATAGCAAAATGACCAGTAATACATCTTATAGTAGAATTACCAATGATTCCTTTTTATAGCAAAATGACCAACAATAAATTTTATCTGTTGTTGATAGTTACAGTGTATCGGTGACTCATGAAGAGTTGTGTAGGTGACTTACTGATCTTGCTATAGAGGCATGTTTTGCAAATCTAATAAGGTCAATAGGGGTCTTTGTTTTCATCTCTGCATTTTTTTAATTGCTTTTGAAATGGTCTTCACAGCATTTTCAGCTTGTCCATTTGCCTTTGCGAAGTGTGGGCTTGATGTGATGTGACAAAATTCCCATGTTTCAATAAATTTCTGGAATTCTTCAGATGTGGTGCATTTTCTGAGATCAGGATGTTAGTGATTCCCTGTCCTGAAAATACTGATTTAAACACTAAAAGGCTAAACACATAAACACTAAAATAATATAACAAAATACAATTTTTACAGAATAGGTTTGCACAAAAAATTTCCTTTTGTTTGCCTTTTTAGTAAAGGCAGATAACAGATGCTGAAGTTACAATCGGGTGAACATGTGTGCAACAACAAGGTTTCGGAGAAAGTGGAAGCAAAAAGGAAACTTATACTTAACATCAGGAAGAGGCAGCTGAAATTTCTGGAGCACATAATGAGAAAGGAAGGCTTGGAAAACCTGACACTCACAGGACAGATTGAGGGAAAGAGGGACAGAGGAAAGCAGCATGTAACATACTTGAGTAAATGGATGGCAGAACAGGGTCTGCGAGAAATAACAAAAAGACAAAACTTCTAAAGAGCTACAAGAGACAGGAAAATGTGGAGGTCCATGATCGCCTATGAAACAGCACATACAGAAGAAGAATACCTAGGACATGGCACATAAAGAAGAAGAATTTTTATTCTATATAAAGCCAAAGAGCCACTCAAAGTAGAGAATTAAGGAGTTTGTTGCATGAGCGGTAAGAGTAACAGGTAAAAGTCAAATTTTATGAAGCTATATGGGAAAGATAATGGCTAACCATAGACTTGGACAAGTTAAGATTGTATTGATTGGGGAAGCACTCTCTTGGAAGTCTGTTCCATAAAGCAGTGGTTTATGGCAAAAAGTTGCTTGAATGTACATGGCTTGACAGGTTCTAGCTGTGAATGTTAGAATGGATGGAACTAAGGAATACAGCTTGTAGCGGACTGTGGCAGTGATGAGTATATAGAAGAATACACGGGAGTTAAAATTTCCTGCTAGTCGGTCCAACTACATGAGAAAGTTGGACTTTAATTAAGTCCAAAGAAAACAAACAGGACCGATAAATATATGTAAACAAATATATGTATTAACAACAAGTACAAGTTACAAGTTACAAGTACATGGACAGTTACATTGAGTGCTTGTGGTGAATATTATGTGTGTGTGTGTGTTGTGTTGTGGTGAGTGTTCGTACGTACGTGTATTGTTCTTAGCGTGTTCCCAGAATTTGGGAAACACAGTATCTGTGAGAGCTCACAGCTGCGAGGTGGTAGAAGGTTGAAGGCCTGGGGGAAAAAAGAGGAAGAGATGAAGGGTCAGCCAGTATTTATAGCCAGGGGAGAGAGACCCCTGGTGAAGGGTTAAGGAGCTGAGGAGGAGCTAACTCCGACAAGGTCATCTGAGGAAAGTGGTGTGTAACATACATGATGAGCTTGAGTAAATAGATGGTAGAAAAGGGTTTGGGAGAAATAACAAAAAGTGAAAACTTATTAAGAGCTACAAGGGACAGGAAGATGTGGAGGGTCATGATCACCTATATTCTGAAGGGACACAACACATAAAAGAATAAGATAGCAGAACAAAATTAGAATTATAGGCTATTTAAAAATATACAATACAATCTTCAAATAATGGATAAGATAATCATCTTCTTTTATATGCCGTGTTCCTTCAGGCCGTACATGATCATTGCTCTCCACCTACCCCTATCCCTTGTAGCTCTCAATAAGTTTTGTCCCTTTGCTTCTTTTTCTAGACCCTGTTCTGTCCTCCACTTGCTTAAGCCTTTTAGGTATGTCACGTGTTGCTTTCCCTTGTCTCTTTTTCTCTTTATTTGCCATGTGAGTATCAGATTCTCTCAGCCCTCCTTTCTCATTATGCATCCAAGAAATTTCAGCTGCCTCTTTCCCTATGTTAAGTATAAGCTTCCTCCTTGTTTGCATCCTCCTCAAAACCTCATCATTGCTCACATTTTCGGTCCATGATATTGTAGAGGGGCTGTGGCTGTGATGTTGTGAAGTCAGACGTAGAAGAAATGCATGAAAGGTTCAGATACTTCTGGTCTCCGGGCCCAACTATATAAAAAGGTTGGACTTTGATTAAGTCCAAAGAAGAAGGCAAAGAAAGCAAACAAAACACAAGACCGATAATATATGTATATACAAAATAACAAGTTACAATACATGGAAACAGTACAAAGGATGAAGTGTGTGTGAATATTCTGTATGTGTGTGCATGTGTGAATATTCTGTATGTGCGTGCGTGTGTGTGTATTGTGCTTAGCGTGTTTCCACGCTATTCCTTTGTTAGCGCCTACATTTCGAGGTTGATAGCTGAAATCCTGAAGGAAAAAGAGATAGAGGCGAAGGGTCAGCGGCTATTTATAGCCAGGGAAGAGAGATCCCTGGTGAAAGGGTTAACGGACTGAAGGAGGAGTTAACTCCGACAATATCCTTAGTGTCATTCTGTAGAACCAAACCTCTGTTGCCTCGTGTCTTTTCTTCATCTCTGAGGAGACCGTCCAACATTTGTTGCTGTAAAGGAGAACAGATGTCACATAGCAGTTCGGTACTCTTTTCTTTGTCACCAACAAAATCCTCTTGTTTCATAATACTCTGCCTAGCTTTTGGAATGCATTTTTGACCATCCCAATACGTCTTTGGATCTCAGTATCACACTTACCGTCCTCTGTCAGAACACTGTTTAAATTCTTGCTTGATTTTAGTGTTCCTGACCTGGATCTTTTCACTCTAATGTAAAGTTACTTATCACAAATATTAATTCACCCCAAGAAATTATAAATTTTAAATTAAAGTTAGTTTGTTTTTTTATTAAATTTTTGGCATTCTTTTGAAATTATAAATTTTAAATCAAAATTTGCAACAACTTCTACTCTCAGAATGAAAAATTACCAAAAATCAGGGATTTATTTACATTTCGTAAGGGCAGATGTTATTCGATGTACTTACAAGGAATTTTTTACAATTTAAAAAAAAAAAAAAGAAAAAAATTTGTTTTTGGTGTGTTTATCGGGGTAAGCGTGAATGAAAATACAGCACTTAGAAATAGCACACCCGAGTAGAGGAGTAGCGCACATTTGGGTCGATCGCAAAGGTCAATCCAAAACTGGAGGGCAATAAAAGAATTTGGTGTTAATGTTAGTAAATATAAATTCTTTTTCTTTTGGGGTGAATTAATATTTGGGGGGTTTGGGGGGGGTGTGTAATTGACAGACGAGATACCTTGGGCTTAAATATTTTTGAATTTTGATACTTCCCCGGCATATGCCAGATGCGAAAATAAGCGTTGACTAGCCCGTAGACAAGTAATCAAAGAAATTCTGTTTTTGGTACACGAAAAACAAAAAAGAATGTTTTTAAACACTACCAAAGTTCGGTTTTTAAAAGGAACCGCACTTTTTAACTTTCTCGTTCCTAAGCATTTTTTTCTATTCGGAAAAAATTACTTTTTATTTATTAATTGGCTAAAAAACAAACAAACAAAAAACAAAAAACAAATCTTCAACCAACAGGCACGTTTATCGATCCCATTCACGCGCTGATATCCGCAGTCATTGTGCGTCTTCTGATGCTAAGTTTAACTTAAACAACATAAAATGTAAATGTAAATTATATCAAAATTAGCAATAGTTGTCGAAAACAGGCATCTAAAATATTCAATAACAAGAATTAGAATTAACACGCCCACAAAAAACTATTAAGGGATGAAGTCGGTGGGAATGTTTCTTTATGTGTTGCGCTGATGTATAAAACTTTTTTTTAACCAGTTATGGTAGATTGGTTGAGATTTTTATTTTATTATTCAAATAAATCCCTCACCACTTTTTTTTTTTTTTTTAATAACATATTTTAAAGCGCACTTCCATTCGTAGTAAGCTGAGCAGGTTTTACTTTTATTACTTTTTTTTTTAGTTTTTAGTTTTTGTCTCATTTTTAGCAAATGTTCGCATAAATATTTTACTACCTTTATCGGTACGGTAACAAAAAAAAAGGTCATTTGTAATGATAGCAACATTAACAAGAATCAGTAATAATAATAATAATTCTATCATTATTCAGAAAACATTTTTAAGCGGAGACACATTGCGAGCAAAACAAAAGAGGTCAGGAGAATGTGATGACCTTTGGCCTCAGCTCTTCGTTAACCTCGTGGTCTGCCATTTCATTCACAACCTCAATATGTCTGAATTCCTCTTGATCAAGTCTGCAGCCTTAGATTTTAGCATCCAGTGGATTTGTTGGGCAATAGCAGCATGTCGAAGGACCGAAAAATTTTATGATTTGGCAGGTAAATATATTCAAGAGATTCTTTTCTTTTTAATTGTCTTTCCGGTGTTTAATTAATTTCACACCTATCGCGACAACACTGACAGTAAACTCGGTAATTTTAGTAAAGTAAATTAATTACTTTGAAACTAAAAGTTTTGAATTCTGAGAGATGTGCTTTTCTTTTTATTATAAATTAAAAAAACAAACTAATCTTCTTAAAAACTACCTCATCTGAACTTATTTAAAAAACAAAACAACATCAAAATAGAAAAACAATATCATTCGTGGTTTTTAGTAAAAGGGAAAATCATTTCTGTTCTAGTAAAAAATATCTTATAACTTCAGCTAAAAAACAATCTACCTCTAGTAGTAAAGCAATTTTTCTTGCATAATAAAAACTAAAAAGTTTCTCTCGTCAGTGTGTATTTGTTTTGTTTTTAAAATGAAACCCCACGATCTCGAAACATATTTTGCTATTGTTACATAAGTCGTGAGTAAAATTGGGAACGAGACTGTAAAATGGTTACAGTAACTTTAATATTTCTTTAACAAAGAAAATCAAAGAAAAAAAGAAAAAAAAAACTTAGTGTTCAGTTAATTATTATTAACTGAACACTAAGTTTTTTTTTTATTATTAATTATTAATTATTAACTGTTAATAATTTAAGTTTGTAATGTAGTTTTAAAAATGTTGAAATTATTAACCAACAATCTTTGTAAGTCTCAACCAGTAAAAAAAAAGAAAAGTAAAAACACATCACTTTTGTTGTCACCTGTATAATAATCATTTAAATTTTAAATCCTAACTTCTCTAAGTAAAAACTTTTTTTTTTTTTTTAAAGAAAACGTCCGGTCGTAAAATTACAGCACAAATCAAAAGTTCGTGGCGGGAAATTCCTCCCCACCGTTTTGACTTTGAGTAATTTATTAATTGAATGAAATGATAGTGTTGGAGGAAGAAAATAAAATTTCACCCCCTCTTCTTAATTCTCCCCCTGAAATGTAGAAGGGAAAATTAAATTTTCTATCGCCAAGATTTGCGTTTTTGGATCTTACTTAGAAAAGTAAAACTCACATAACTTAAGTCAGCAGCCTCAGATGTTTTTATTATTTTTTTAAATTATAAAATTTTAATAAAACTTGGAAATAATTGATTACTATTTTATTTTAGTCACGCTTCTTAAAAGAAGTGGTAGAGATTGTCCATTTATTTACTAAACAACTTTTTCACCCCCGTTTATTTAAACGAAAGACTTGAATAATAAAAAAAAAAAAAAAAACTCCAATAGCGCGGTTAGTTTTCTTTTTTTTTTTTCTTTGTATTCGAGCATGCTATAAATTTTGTGATAGTTGTATAGGACATTTAATGCAATTGTTAGGGTTCTTTCTAAACGCGTCTGGTAGTTACACCAATTTAAAAAAAAAAAGTAATCGTGTCTGAATTGTTGGGTGGGGGTGTTGGTGCTTAGAAACGACTAAGTTAAAAAAGTCCGGCCGCGGTTAATGTACTTAGAAAAACCGAGCCCCGTATTCCATTTTAGCGTCCTAAACATTTTTCTTCTACCATACAATACTAGTGAATTTCTTTAAGTTTAACTTTTTTTTTACCTATAACACATACAAAAAAAGGTAAAATTAAAAGTACTGATCGCTTTTTGCCTTTTTTGTATCTGGGAAAGCTTGTGCGGCATGATCAGACTGGAAAACTATTTATTGTAGAATAAAATAAAGATTAAAGATACAAAGAAGAATCAGCAATATTATTGGTCCTGATCTGGCGGCTCGGCTTCACTCAGTCATTTTCACACCGCCGTGGGGGTGCCTTTTTGTGTCTTTTCTTAGAAATACTTTCATGGTAATTGTTTTTTGGACGAGCTTTTCGTTATGTTACCTAGAATTTTTTTTTCTTTTTATTTTAAATTTAAGCACAGTACTAGACTGGTACGTGTCGAGATCTCGTCAATTTACAGTTGAGCTGGCTAGAAGTAGCTGTAAGTTTTATTCTAACAGTTTCTTTTCTCGCACGCTTCCACGCTTTTCAGCCAACTTTAATCAGCAAAAATTTAAATGTGATGTCAATTGCTATCTACTGTCCTCCTGAAATTACTTATTTCTTTTTCTGTTCATAATTCTCAAAAAGTGTGTGTGTGTGTGTATGTCTGTGTGTGTGTGATCGGATGTTGTTTATGCGTCTCCACAATTTCCATCCGATTTCGATGATTTTTTTTTTGTTTGATAGATAATTCTTCAGTGCTGGTTTTGAGTCCAAATTGTTGACGACAATGGCTCTCCACTACTTCCTGTCCATTACATCTCTCAGCAACGTTTTTACTATTTACTATCTGTTCTTGGGTATATATATTTCCTAAAAACTTTAATAAAAATAAAACTATTACAATAATATTATCTATATCTATAATTCTCAATGTGTGTGTGTGTGTGATCGGATATTGTTTATGCGTTTTCACAGTTTTCATCGATTTTGATGAAATATTTTTTGTTTGATAGATAATTCTTTAGTGCCGGTTTTGAGTCCAAATTACATCTTCACCTTCTCTTGGCCAAGCAATCAATCTTTCTCAAGTGAGGTTACCTTTTTCCGTTGTATAAAGCCTACTATTACAGTTTTAAGGTGTTGCTTTCATTGTTGTTTATAGCCATTCACAATTTAAATTGTTTTTATTGTACTGCCAGTTTTTGCATTGCATTCACCGTAGTAATAAGTAAGCTTGCTTTTTTTTTATTACTCTACATTTATTTTTGCAACCTTTCTTAAAGTTATTCGAGCTTAGTGATCCCTGTAGCTTTACAGCATTCTCTTCTGGTACTTGCCCATGTATTCCATTTGACAATTCATATTTGCCTAAGATATGCCACTAAAGTAAAGAACTTGCCTAGGTCGCAAAACCACTGCTGCGCCATGCGAATAAGAGATAACGAATCGGATTTAGAATGTTCAGCTCTCCTGACTCAAAATGCCTCTCTGAATGCTTCAATCAGAACCACTGAGTCCAAAGATCAACATAGCCATCGGTTTTCCAGAAGAGCACACCTGAACACTTCTGCACGTGAAGCTGAAAATGTTGATCAAAGGACTCAACGACTGAGGAGAAAGGCCTCTTCAACTGCTGCTGCGTGTGAGGCTGAAACAAGATTGAGAATGCAGAAATGGCCCTTTTCAGGGCCACCCCCTATTTGGAGATGTCTCAGTTGCGCCCTATTGTTGCTACTAATATTGATTTTCAAGTGGGCTGACTTTAAACTGCTCCAATTGAATGGTAAAAATTCCCAGTAATGAAAGACCCGGTCGAAGATGGGTTATACTGCTAGTTATTAATTTTATGTTTAGTTCCTAATTCTTCCACACCCTAACACCTTTCGTTTTAGTGGCTTTACTGCCTTGCCTGGGATGATACCAATTAAAAAATAATATTGTTTTTCTTTGCCGGTATTGGTTTTAGTATTTCAAACAATTGTTTTTTTTATATATCAAACACTAGCCTTTACTTTGGACGTAATTTTCTTAAACAAGATCCGTGAAAGAGTGCATAAGTATTATTACCATGAACTTAATGAAAAAAACACATTTTAAAAATTATTCAAATGTCTTCCTTAAAGCAAAATTTTGGTTGTATTTGAAAGAGCCTAATCCATTTAATTAAAAGAAAACAAAAATGAATTTACATATGTAAATAAAGTTTAAAGGTATTATTTTAGTTTAAAATAATAGTTTAAAAAAATTTTTAAAACATTGGCACAATCGCTCATCATCATCATTATTATTATTATTATTTTTTTTTTTTTTTTTTTTTTAGATGAAAACTAAAATTGTTAAAATTCTGTTAGAAATCCAATATTTGTCTTAGAGATTTGTTTCAAAGTAAACTTGTAAATGTCAGGATTAATTAACTGAATTTTGTAAAACTAATGCTTACTTTTTGCTTAAAACAACAAAAATAATGTTCATTTACACATGATAGCCTATAAACTGTCATCAAGGTCATAAGTTATTTACAGTAGTCTTTTACTGTTGCATTGAAAATGTGCATAATCTTCTACTATAACTCCAAAGCATGCGTAAAATTTTAAAAAGTACAAATGATCAAAGATACTACATTACAATCTAGAAATTGGTATTGTTTATGCTTATAAACATGTCATCTTTATTATGTACACATGTATGGGGGGAATGTCTCTTTGTGGGCAAGGGAAGTGACTTGGAGGAAGGGGAGATTCAGAAGGGACTGGATTTGATGTGTGCGTTGGGTCGGTTGATTCTCTGATTTTTTTATAATAACTTTTGAAAATGAGGTAGGTTTTTTTTTCATATTTTATTTTGGAAAACACATCCATTTTGGTAGTACCAAGTGCTTACATTTTTCATCAGTAATGGTGAGGAGTGACCATTGTTTAAAAATGTCTAAAAAAAAAAGACAAAAAAGAATAATTTTTCAATTCAATTATGCAAAATTCTTTCTTTTAACATTTAGGCTATTTAATTTTTCAAATAAAAACAAAATTAAATTTTTCAAATTTAAACCAAAATAGCTTCAAAGAAGATATTTAAATTATTTAAAATGTGTGTTTTTAATTTTTTTTTTTTTTATTAATGGAAAAATGTCTGTTCAGATTGTGAGGTAAGGCAATTTTTAAATATAGTACTTGAATAGTTAGTATACGGAGAAAGTTTTGGACTCTAAAATGGAAGATATCCTATGGTGTTGTACAAAGATGCATTCCGACAAGTAGACAGTTTATATCAATAACATTGTTAATAATCCTGTTGAAACCTGTAAACCATGAATGATGTAGAACAGGTATTCGGTTGACTGCATTTGAAAGAACAACCAAAGAAACTGATTGCTGTAGAGAACCAAATAATGTTGGACTGATGGGAATTTTGTTTGGGGTTTGTGATTAAAATTGCACGTTGTATAGTTGGTTACTGTGAAAGAGTACAAGGTTTTGAAATTAGTTCAACACTTAGATTTTAGAATAATTGTTCAGGAGAAATAGATA